CGAGTTGAGAGTCTGTGGGTGAGAATTAAGGGGCAGGCTGGCAGGGGGGATACTGTTGTAGGTGTCTGTTACAGACCACCGGATCAGGGTGAGGAAGTTGACGAGGCCTTCTACAGGCACCTGAGAGCGGCCTCACAGTCACAGGCCGTGGTCGTCGTGGGGGATTTTAACTTCCCTGATGTTTGCTGGAAGGACCACTCGGCAACCCAGCCACAGTCCAGGAGGTTCCTCCAGTGTATGGATGATACCTTCCTCATGCAAATGGTAAATGAGCCACCCAGGAGAGGAGCGCTGCTGGATCTCATCCTCACTAACAAGGAGGATCTGGTCGAAGCAGTAAGGGTTGAGGGCTGCCTTGGTTGCAGCGACCATGAGATGGTGGAGTTCAGGATCTTGTGTGGCAGGACTAGTAGAGTAGCAAGTAGAATTGCAACCCTGGACTTTATCAGGGCAAACTTTGGCCTTTTCAAGCAATTGCTAGGGGAAATCCCATGGGCAAGGCTGCTTGAAGGTAAAGGGGCCCAAGATAGTTGGTTGACATTCAAGGACTGCTTTTTCCGTGCTCAAGATCGGAGCATCCCGACACGTAGGAAGTCAAGGAAGAGGGCCAGGAGACCTGCGTGGCTAAATAGGGAATTGCTGGGTATGCTCAGGTGGAAGAGGAGAGTTTACAGGTCATGGAAGGAGGGGCTGGCCACTTGGGAGGAATATAAGGCCGCTGCTAGAGGATGTAGGAAGGCAGCTAGGAGGACTAAGGCATCCTTAGAATTAAACCTGGCGAGAAGGGTCAAGGACAGCAAAAAGAGCTTTTTCAAATACATGGCAGACAAAACTAACACCAGAGGCAATGTAGGCCCACTGATGAATGGGATGGGTGCCCTGGTGACAGAAGATACAGAGATGGCAGAGTTACTGAATGCCTTCTTTGTCTCTGTCTGCTCTGCTGCAGGCAGTCCTGAAGAGCCCTGTACCCCTGAGACCTTAGATGAAGTCAGGTCGACAGAGCAGTTTGCCTTAGTCGATGAGGAATGGGTTAGAGACCAGTTGAGCAATCTGGACATCCATAAATCCATGGGTCCAGATGGGATGCACCCGCGGGTGCTGAGGGAACTGGCAGAAGTCATTGCTAGACCACTCGCCATCATCTTTACCAAGTCTTGGGAAACGGGAGAGGTGCCTGAGGACTGGAGGAAAGCAAATGTCACTCCAGTCTTCAAAAAGGGCAAGAAGGAGGACCCGGATAACTATAGACCGGTCAGCCTCACCTCCATCCCTGGGAAAGTGATGGAACACCTTATCCTTGGTGCTATCTTAAGGCATATCAAGGATAAGAGGGTTATGAGGGGCAGTCAACATGGCTTCACCAGGGGGAAATCATGTTTGACCAATCTCTTAGCCTTTTATGAGGAAATAACACGGTGGATGGATGATGGCAGAGCGGTGGATGTGGTCTACCTTGACTTCAGCAAAGCATTTGACACAGTCTCCCACAGCATCCTCACGGCTAAATTGAGGAAGTGTGGACTGGATGATCAGGTAGTGAGGTGGACTGTGAACTGGCTGAAGGAGAGAAGCCAGAGAGTTGTAGTCTATGGGGCAGAGTCTAGTTGGAGGCCTGTATCTACTGGAGTGCCTCAAGGGTCAGTACTGGGACCGGTATTATTTAATATATTCATCAATGATTTAGATGAGGGAATTGAGTACTATCAGCAAGTTTGCTGATGGCACTAAGCTGGGAGGAGTGGCTGACACACCAGAAGGCTGTGCTGCCATCCAGCGAGACCTGGACAGGCTGGAGAGTTGGGCAGGGAGTAACTTGATGAAATATAACAAGGGAAAGTGTAGAGTCCTGCATCTGGGCAGGAATAACCCCAGGTTCCAGTATAGGCTGGGGAACGACCTGTTGGAGAGCAGTGTAGGGGAGAGGGACCTGGGGGTCCTAGTGGACGACAGGATGACCATGAGCCAACACTGTGCCCTTGTAGCTAAGAAGGCCAATGGCATCCTGGGGTGTATTAGAAGGGCAGTGGTTAGTAGGTCGAGAGAGGTCCTCCTTCCCCTCTACTCTGCCCTGGTGAGACCCCATCTGGAATATTGTGTCCAGTTCTGAGCCCCTCAGTTCAAGAAGGACAGGGACCTGGTGGAGAGAGTCCAGCACAGGGCAACTAAGATGATTAAGGGAGTGGAGCATCTCCCTTATGAGGAAAGACTGAGGGAGCTGGGTCTCTATAGTTTGGAGGAGACTGAGGGGTGACCTTATTAGTGTATATAAATATATAAAGGGGGAGTGTCACGAGGATGGAGCCAGGCTCTACTCAGTGGCAAACAATGATAGGACAAGGGGTAATGGGTACAAACTGGAACACAAGAGGTTCCACTTAAACTTGAGAAGAAACTTCTTCTCAGTGAGGGTGACAGAACACTGGAACAGGCTGCCCAGGGAGGTTGTGGAGTCTCCTTCCCTGGAGCATTCAAAACCCGCCTGGACACATTCCTGTGTAACCTTATCTAGGTGTTCCTGCTCCGGCAGGGGGATTGGACTAGATGATCTTTCGAGGTCCCTTCCAATCTCTAGCATACTGTGATACTGTGAAGTGAGGTTTTCCAAACCTCAGAGACAGGTTGTATGCAGCTAATCTGGAGCTAATTTGTTGTTAGGGCAGCCCGGTGAACACCACATTGAAGAGCTATAGGCTGTGCATCCCGTAAGAGTGAGAACCCCCTGACATCCCAGCACAGGGCCTGGGGTTCAAATGATGCTGCTGTTCACAAGTAAATCATTGCAGGTTGAAGGCAGCAGTTCCAGTAAAGAACTCTGTCACTATGCTGCTGTGGTGCCAAATCCTTTGGCCAGTTTGCAGCTGATTTTGTCATTTGCTGCACTCCCAGCACTAAAGGCGGACCTCAAAGGCAAGAGTAATTGATAGGGAACTTTAAATTGGAGAGAACTGAATGATAGAAAATTACAGAAAATGAAGATGGAGAAAGTGATAAAGGTCTTCAGGGTACTGCCAAGAACTCTAAGAGGAAAAGAAAATCCTTCCTCTCTTACACCTCCACTTTTTACCATCACCTTGAAGAATTTTGTTCCTGAGGACAGAGGAGAACCTGAATCTCTGAATAACAGCACTGCAGAGCTGCCTTGGTCTGTAGGGATATGTGAAGAAATGCAGCTGTCTCTTAAATAACAGGAGTTGACATGAGTTGTGAATAGATGAGTGATCATGGCTTCAGCCGTTACTGTAAAGGATCTGATTTCAAATGAAGCCCCATCCAGGACCCATCATCAGGCTGTTAAGGGAGCATCTGTCACAAAACCACAATGGCTTTAACTGCTTGAAACAAAAATAAGCCTGTTCAGCTTAAATACTTTTCTCTGGGTGATGTGATTCTTGCAATTCTTTAGCAATAATGAATGATAAATGTGATGGGTAGCTAAAATACGTGATGGGAGCAGGGCAAGGTGTGTTTTTCACATTAGCATGGAGTTTGGTTGGGTAGGCATGAATGCCAGTGGCAGTAAGTTTTCTTGGGTAGCAGAGTGCACAGCCCCAGCACACCATGCATCCAGCTCCAAAGCCCTGGCTCAGAGCACTCCCTCCAGGACACAAATGGGAATTTTTTCCCTGCTTTCTTGATGCACCAGGGAGAACATCTCCAGCGGCAGGACAGGGCATCACCTTCAGGCCAAGCTTTGTCAAGGCACAGGGGAAGTGTGCTCGTTACCATGTGATCGTGATTGGGTAACTCGTCGGGACTAGATGAGTTTTTAACACAGAGTGTTGAAAATATTGGCATGTCAGCTGCTGTCCTGCTGTCCCTTTGGATGACATCCACGCTGCCAGGAGCACAGAGATCAAAGGGCAAGACGACTGCTCATGCACAGACTTGCTTTATTATGTTCACAGTATATTGAAAACATCTCACATGCTTTAGATTGATGTTTCTGGGGTTAGGGGTAGGCATTTAGGCCCTGTAATACACATCAAACCCCCTCTCAGAGGAATTGGAGTATCTGTGCAGCTTGATGGTGGCAAGAAAGACTTTATTGTTTGATGTAGATTTGTGTTTCTAATTCATGTTAAACTGTATTCCAAGATCCTCTTTATATTTAGTTGGGCTGAGTTGTTTTAAAAAATTGCCTTGAATGGGTACGAAAAAATGGATTGTGGTTGTATGTGCACAGCTGTGGGCTCCTCTACAAACGTACTTCATGTCGAAAGACAGGACTTCTTGCACAAATTTTCAGCCTATGGAGGCATTGCTGATGTTCACGGTAGAATAGGGTAAATGTTTTTAAAATATCCAAGTGTATTAGAAAGCTAAATCTCCCCTCTAGCCCACCAAAACCCCCAATTTATACTCCCAGAGTATTACCATCTAATCGGGCTCCTGGGTTTTGTCCGTGTGCTGCATCTCCCGCAGTCCCAGCCCTATGCTGGTTTCAAGCTGAAGCAGTGACTCACTCAGGCAGAGATTCATCTCCTTCATCTGAGCTGACTGAAAGCAAGGCATCTCCTCAGAACAAGCCACCAAGCCTCCCTCCCTTACTAGCAGAGGGACAGGCATCTCCCAAAAGTGACTTGACCTCTCTGTTCTGGGCATGAGACCTATATGCCTCAACCTCTTATCTGAATAAACCCTTGCAGAAAAGCATGTGTGTGTGTACAGAATCCAGCACAATGGACAAATTGGGCACTTCGTCCCTCAGGGAATGAAAATAGCAAGCAATGTTAAAGCTGTGTGTTTTCACAGATTGCAATCAGGGCTCACAACACAACGCACACTTAATTTCCTGCTTTCAGTTCACTATCAGATTTTATGCGTAGGTTAGTGGGGTTTGTTTTTCACCAGAATAGGATATACTACAATACATTCAGCCATGAAAAATGAGATTGAAAAATATTAATAGGAAGCAGAAGGATTCATCTGAGATTGACAAAGATTAATGTGTGCTTTATTCTTATCTGTTTTCTTTTTCTTTTCACTTTTTCTCTTAGTTACCTAGACAGCTTAGATCGAATTGGAGCTGCAGACTACCAGCCCACGGAGCAGGATATCCTCCGAACCAGAGTCAAAACAACTGGCATTGTAGAAACCCACTTCACGTTCAAAAACCTCCACTTCAGGTTAGTCTAAGTGCACAGTAAATTTCCGGTACGTCTATTTGCCACAGAGTTTTCCTATAGCTCCCAAAGGAGAAGCTGTTAAATTCTAGTTAATGCATGGATGACTTCCACTGCAGAAGGCATGGTGTTTTGGAGGGTCAGCAGTATGATCCTGTCTTGAAAATCACTGCCTTTTGAGAGCTCATGGTAGCTTCTTCTAACCCAAATGGCACCTCTTTGCTGAGAGGTGTAATGTAAGATTGACCCCCAGTCAAGCCTGATCAAGCCTCATAAGTGTAAAAATATTTGGCCAAATCTTTTCCCTAAAGTGAGTCAGTCACATGTGGTTAACACTGTGTATTGACTTCATGATGCCAGCCAGTAGAGAAAAGGACATGAAGGCAGAAAACCATACACAAACAGTATTTGGAGTATTTAAAGATCAAGAGCATGGAGTCTCTTCCTCTGCAGATGTTATGGGACACAGCACAGTTCTGAGGTTCTCCCACAGATCCCCACATCCCTTGCTGTAACTGCTCCTCTTTGTCCTCCTCATCTCCAGTCTCAGAGGAAGAAAACCAAGGCAGTGGTAAAAGACATGTTGCTTTATGTTTGGAGCCTTCCAGACACAGTATGCTCCATCCCTGACAGTGTTTCAAGGCCAGGTTGGACATGGTCTAGGGGAAGGTGTCCCTGCCTGTGTCAGGGAGTTGGAACTGTATGATCTGAAGATCCTTTCCAACCAAAACTGTTCTGTGAAATTCCAAGAATGCTCAAGTTTCCTTGTAACTAAGAAGGAGCAGGCACTGATGGTCTTCTCCTGTGCCATAGGCTGTTTGATGTTGGAGGTCAGCGGTCAGAACGAAAGAAGTGGATTCACTGCTTTGAGGATGTTACAGCGATCATTTTCTGTGTCGCACTGAGTGGCTACGACCAGGTACTTCATGAAGATGAAACCACGGTGAGTCTAACCGGGTCTTGGAGGCCCCAACATTTCTTTATGGAATACTGCATAGCCAGCAACTACTCAGAGATTACCGAATGCTCACTGGGCTGCTACAGTAATGTGCTTTTGTCAGTCACTCCCCCTTGACTCTGAAATCCTGGGGAGATGTGTCCTCCTCCACACTCTTCAAAATCAAGTCTGCATGCCCAGGTAATGCTTCCTTGCACTGGTAAAGTCGCAGTGTTTTATGTCTCCTTTCTAACTGGCCTGTGTGTTTTCAAAACGTGTTAACAGAATCCTGTGTCCAGAAGGAGGAGATAGAGGTGGGCTCTTAAAACAAATGTTAAGGAAGCAGTTGTGCTGTGGTGCAGAGGTGCAGGACGGTCATGCACGCCCAAGGCAGACTCAGACTAGGAATATAACCTATTTCTTCAGGCTACAGATACTCATTTTCCTAAGTGAGACTGGAGCTGTTTGATTCCTCAGGTAATTTGCTCTAGGAGAGCTTTTATGACTTCCCACTGTGACGTTAGGCTCAAAATGCCATCTGGAAATAGAGCTAGCAAGGACCTGTGTGCTTCCTGGTATTAAAGTGCAATTAATACAAGAGGATGCAAGAAGACTCAGTGTATTTTGGCCATTCAGTCAGTGTAATGGAGATAGCTGCAGCAAGCACCTAGCTGCATTTGTCTTGCAAAAATAAATTGGAGTCCATACTCATACTTGGTAATGATTTTATCTGTGTCCATTCTGCAGAAGTATGGAGGGCCCAATTCTGCCTGCTCTGTTTCTCTGAGGCTCTTTTTTCTCTGGCTGCTGAAGGTGTAGGTTTGCAGGAAAGTGTTAATGAGGACGAAACTGAGGGAAAGATTCCTGTTAGGTATCAGTTGGCTTGTCCCAGAAAGGCTGGGAGGGGGCTGTGGTTTCTAGGCTCTTTAACTCAGGTTTATGAGCTCTAGAAAACTGATTAAGTCACCTGGTTGTTCGGGTTGTACGGATGACAGAATTCAGGCTGATATTAACATCATGACTATGTCCCTCCAGTCTGAGTTACCCTACACCCTCGTATGTCCATTTATTTATAATTCTCAGTTGTCACCTACCTCTGATCCTGGCCCTAATATGCTCAAGGATGCTCACTCCTGTAGGATTTATTAGGAAGGAACCTAAGTCACCTGACATGATTTGAAAAACCAAGTCATTAACTCAGTGCCATAGAGCTCTGCAGCTGAGCAGGGGAAACACAACCACGAGATAAAGAACAACACGAAGGGAGAAAGCAGCCCCAGGAGGCAGGGAGCCGAGCTGTGACCTGAGCAGGGAACAAGGCGATCTGTAGGTATAACTTGGGCTTGCAACACCCAAACAGTGAAGCCAAAGGCAGCCTTTAATACAGGTCACCTTTGGGTGCCAGAGCGGTGATTCAAAGCCACAGTACACAAGATGGAAGAGCCTGAATGCCAGTGCCATTTTTAAATGTCAACTTTTGACTCAACTCCTCTGAGATGGAGGTTACAGCATCTCTCCTGGGATGCTGAGCTCTGCCAGTGACTGTCCATCTCCCAGCACCACCCCAGTGACAAGCAGGGTGCCAGGTCAGCCTGCCCCCTGCAGTGCTCCACTGCAGAAAACTGGGATTTATACGTCTCCAACTTCCCTTTTGCACCAGGAAAGCAGGCTCGCACTGCTCTGGCACAGAGCTGACATTTGATTGCTATTTCAATCCCTTTTCACAAAGCCTTTTTGGGGATGCTGAGCAACAGGAGGGCAGAGGCAGCTGCTGTTCACTTACACACCCAACTGTAAATGGGGAAAGGATTCAGCACTGGCACTGCTGTGCCTGCAGGATGCCCCTGCCTAACCCAAATAAACAACCCTGAGTGAGCCCAATCCAAACAGGAAAAATGTTGGAGTTGGATCTTATCTGCCTTATTATATCCCCCCAGCATAGGTGGAAAACCCATAGGCTCTGGCCTTCTCCCAGCTGAAACCCCAAGCATTCCGTTTCCTGCCTCCTAACATGGTTCCTCTCCAAAAAGCCAGCAGTAAAAGCAGCATCTCTTCAGTCAGCTGATTTGCCGTCTGTCTGCATCCGTCACATCTGCTGGCTTTCATGACGTAAATCAGCTTTTATTGCTTCTCACTTAGAAATGACAAAGAGGAGGCAGCTGAGACAGTGAGCTGGATGCTGCTCCTCCATCTTCATTTTCTGTAGAGATTCTTACTACGATCCCGGCACTTCCAGCTGTATTAAGCTACTGAAGGGTTGGTGCTGCGCAGATGTCTCTGTTGAGTATGAAAAGACTTGTAGAGCTTTCATTGCTGGCATGGAGCCATGAAGAGGAAAAGAACATCTCAGGCACCCAAAAAATGCTTGCAAAGCATAGGGAGAGCAGCTTTTCCTTGTTGACAGTAACCACAGGATTTCACAGGGGCTTTTAGCACTTTTTTTTAAGTCAAACTTCACTTTGGGCAGGTGAAACTGCAGCTCAGATCAAGTCAGCCTAATACAGAGGACTTGCTTTGGGAAGCTCAGTCACAAGAGCGCTGGGAATAGCCTAGTTGTGTCAGCTTGTCTCACTGAAAGAAGCTCATGAACAACAGGTTCACTGTGAACCCTTTACAACAAGATCAAGCAAAGAGATGGTTAAACAAGGCTGGGTGAAATGCCCCCTGACCTGTTCCTTCCCTTAAAATAAAAGCACAGCTCCACGCTTGTAGGTTTTTTGTGGGTTTTTGTCTCTTTGTTTTAAAAAGCTGAGCACCCATCCTCCTGCAGCAGCTAAAAAAGGGCTATTGCACACAAAGCCATCACCCCCTAGGACCAAGTAGTCTTTTATAAGGGACATATATTCTCTCCAATTCCCTGACACAAAGAGTAACATGGCAGGAGTTGAGGAAAGCAAGTACTTTTCCATGTCCAGAGCAGAAAGACACAGATAAAGAGAACTTTCTGCATCTGTGATGACCCATGAAGACAATGCTTTGCACAGATAACTCCTGGTGCTCTTGAATCTAGCCTCTCCCATTGCCCCAAACACCTACTTGCACCACTGCTGGCAGATCTAAACTGCTTCCCTGCATGCCTGTCTCCCAGGGCAGAGGATCAAACCTATAGGGAAATTCAAGCAATGCCTTCATCAGTCCCATTGCTATCAGGCACAGCCAACAGCTACAGCTCACGAGGCAAAATTACACCCTTTGCCCAGCCCATCCAATGCACAAGGCACTGTCTTCAGGGTTTTACATGTGCCTCTTCATCTGGCTTTACAAAGTCTGTCACAAGGAATTTCAGGACTCTCTGCTGCATTTGTACACAGTGGGAACATCCTGTTTTAACTGACTGAACAACTCCATGGATTATGCCTTTGCATAACAAAGCTATTTTGCCTCATTTGTTACTTTATGTTTTGTAAACTGAGTTTACAGGAGGAAAAGCCTCAGACCTGTAATCTGGCAGGAGAGAGGGACAGCAGTCATAATAATGGGTAAAACTGGCAAAGACAATTAACAAATGTAAATTTGCATTTTTCCTTCTAACTGGAATTCCTAATGGATTTTTAAAAAAGACAGCAATGTCATGGGACCTATCACTGAAACCAAGACTATCCTCTTTGTTTTTTAAATTGCAAATTCAAAGGAGTCATGGCAAGAGAGGGAGGTGTTCATGCTGCACATTGATGTCTCTGAATCCAAACTATTTAGATCACCTAGCAAAGACATGCAAGTATTGTTCATGGCCCCATTGCTAAGCGTGGGATGGGTTGAAGGCGCTGTGCTAGTGATCCTTGGTCTGTTGGTTCTTATTTCATTGCATGACCTGGTTAGCATACTCTCTCTGCTGTCACTGGGAAAGGAAATTGAATTGCCGTGCTTAGAAATTGCCTTAGGAGTGACAAAGCCAGTGAAAGTGGCTTGAGCATCTTAGGCAATACAAGCAGGAGGGAGGATATGGAGTTTCTGTCCTTAGGATAACCATCAGCACCCTTATAGTTCACATGCCAGTTAGCATTTAATCACCGAGGAGAACAAAAAAACCCTGAATCAGTTGTGTGTGGGAGAAATAACCAAGTCTCCTCCCATGCTCTGATGAAAAAAGATGGGATTTATGACTGTGTGTCTGCCTGAGCAGAGTCTTGACCACAGCATCCTTTCTCCCTCATGCTTAGCAGAAAGTTGTCTGACCTTCACATCAGTGATGGGAACGCTATTGTGCAATGACATCTGAACTCAGTGATAAGCAATTCTTGTCCTGCACAGGAAGAGTTAACTGGGGTTTTAATTTGTATGCGCAAATGGTTAGTCATCTCTAATGTGGCTGGTGGGGCTGCTTTGCTTTTGGGATATAAAGTATTTGCAGGCATAAGGATTTAAAATACTGATTTTGAAATAGGAAGTGACATTAAGAAGCCAGTGTTTCAAGAGCCCTTCCTTAATGATAGACCCAATATAAAGTAGGAAAAAGCAGTATAATGGATCCAAAAGCAGATGAAGTAATTTGTATCACTTACTATAAAACTATGAGAAGTGTAATCTTTAATGCCACCTAGCAGAACAGGCATGGGTGCTCCTAAGAGGAACCCTGGGGAAGCTTTAGGTGACTAAAAGGGTCTTTCACTTTGGATTTACTGGTAGGAGGGGGATTATTTGATGGCTTTAACTTCTCACACCTCCTTTAGCAGCAGTCTGTCCTTTTACATGTGGTTCCCAGAGACTGCCTCCTCATCCTTGCATCTTAGCCAGGGTCTGCTTGAGTTGTTGGAGGTCTCCTACAAACACATACAGAAGGAATCAAATGTCACCCATGATGCTTCCCAGCAGTTGGGAAGTGCAGCCTAGTGCAGGCCGGGTGGGGTGCAGCATGGTAAGTACATTGACCTCTAGGCTGATGGCTGCTGCACACGAGCTGTGGTTTAACCCATGAGCAGTGTTCATGTGTTCCTCCATGCTTCTATTTTAAATCAGAAGGGGTGATAAAAATGTTACTAAGAACGTTCTGTGAGGCACCCTGATTAAAAAACAGTTAACTGTATTTGCCGTCTGCTCCCCTGACTGCACTCCACCTTCTCTCTTCCCAAAGACTTCGGGTAGCCAGATCTGTACAAAACCTTTGCAGGTTCCTACATGATTGCAGTTCTGACATTACAAGTAAAAAAGAGCAGCATTGCTCTGGGGCTCCCACACCAGCCAGTACAAAATGGGTTAGCAAAAACCAGCACACAGATATGGGATAATACAGACAAGCAACATCTTGCAACTGAGACCCAATAAGGAACTGCATTTTTCCATTTGTACATGATTACATCTTCCCTGTGTGTTAGTGGGGAGATACTCAGTCATTTCAAGCCTTGTAGCAAAGCGTGTGGTGTACGGTACAGCAAATCACGCATGTCCTGTTTCATTCTCGGTCAGATCAGATGTTTCCTTCATCCACAGAGCCACATTTATCTAACTAAAACATTCAGCAGCAGCTAATGTATATCAATGAAAAGGAAAGTGTTAATCAATACAGTGCTGGGCTCTATCATGCAGCCAGCACAAGCATGAAACGGAGCGAGAGAGGGGTGAAAGCCACCAGCTGTCTCCTGCAGCATCCCGAATTTCCAAATCTGGGGAGGGGGAACACCCTCCACCCGTCCTCAAAAACCCTCCATCAACGAGACCGTACCACCCTGTCCTCTCCAGCATCTCTCAGGTTACAGCAACAGGTGGTTGCTGTAACCAGTCTCGTATGTGCATTAGCGGGTTTGGGGAGTGCTGTCCCAAGGAGATACCACTGGGAAAAGCCGAGGAGCTGGTCTGGTCTGTACCGTGCTTTGCATTTGATAACCCCCTGACTCTTGGGTGTGCTTCGTCCTCACCGTGCCTGCTCTCTCCGCTCCCTGGCTCCCAGCTGAGAGACGGCCACGCGACCAGCGTGCGCGCTCCGGCATCGGCCTTGCGCGCCCAACATCGCCAGCCTCAGCACCTTCACAGCCTTTCCTCGGCCGTCTGACCTTATCTAGCCAAACAAAGGCCAAAAAATGAGCATTTGAGAGACCAACCAAATTGGCAGGTATGAAGCTTCTCTTGAACTGAGAAAAAACAACAAAAATAAAAGAAAAAAAGAGAGTTGAAAGCAACAGGGAACATGACAGTTGGTTGACTTTGCCGTGAGCTCTTTCCACCACCATAAAACCATGTGGCGGACTTTGCAACTCTCTAACTGGTCTGTTTTGTTCATTCTTCTTATCTCTCTCTCGTTTCTTGTGTCTTTTTTTGCATGACCTATAACCGAAAAGCTGACTTCTCGCTGTGCGTGCATTTGAATGTGTGGCTCTTCTGCTGGCGAGTAGCTGATATTCTTGTAGAGGCATGAGCTAACATCAGTGGTAGCTGCCTGACTTCTAGTCTGGTTGTTCTCAGATGCCCTTTGTTAAGTTTTTCCCTTTTATACTATTTCTTCTTCCTTTTTCACTTTTTTGCTCTCGGTGAGACACTTTCTGTTGAGCCATCTTCCAAGACAACTGAAAAAATGGGAAAAAATAAAAAGCCCAGCAACACTAAACAAAATAACAAAACCTGGCAAAGGTCACGGCAAGGTCATTTCCAAAATTATGTCACCTTGGTGTCTGCTTCCAACTCCAGATTAATTCAAGGATCTACCAGTCCTTGGTTAATGTATTCAACCAGTTGTGTGCCACACACACTCGAGACAGTGAAAAAAGAAGTTTAAGAAGTTAATGAAAACATTGTAGAAAATCTGCATGAGCTACACGAACACATAAATCTGATCAAAGGGCAAAAATAACTCCCCATCCATGCATGGTGCATGATGATTTCTATGAGCTGGGATCCTGTAAATTATATGCTCTGCAAAATCGGAACAGCTCTGTATAGTTAAATGCCCTTAAGTTACTAACTGTGTGTCAAATGTTATAGGAATTGCATCTGTGTACGTATATGTTGAGCTGTATGTATACATCAAATTATTATGTATATTGTAGCCTTTTTTTTTCTCCTTAATTTAGTTGTTTTAGATTTCCCTATGTGTTGAACGTCCTTGAGTCGCTGTCGTTGGCCTCATGTGATCTCTCCTTTCTATTGCAGAACCGCATGCATGAATCAATGAAGCTTTTTGACAGCATCTGCAATAACAAGTGGTTCACAGATACATCTATCATCCTCTTTCTAAACAAGAAGGACATATTTGAGGAGAAAATTAAGAAATCTCCACTGTCTCTCTGCTTTCCTGAGTATACAGGTAATGAGAAAGGTGGCTGTACAGAAGTGCATAGCAAAGGGATCATGGAGCATTTCCATCCAGGCTGACACTGTCATGTATCACAGCCTAAAAATGCATGGCTAGAGCTCCCATTTCCTTCACTGCAAGTTTTATTTCAATAAATAACATAGGCTCATTCCCACCATGTTTAGTGGTCCACTGAAAGCATGAGGATGACTTAAACCCAAGTTATTTTCTGCCAAAAGGCCACTGTCACTAAGCAGTGTATTTGATCCCTGCATCCCTCTGTGGTTCATGGCCACTGGAACCCACTACCAGGCACCAAGCAGCTGCAGGATCAGCCCTCCAACATGCAGACAGCAGGTTTCACAGCTTGGCTGCTTCAGCTCAAGCTGTACATTTTTATCATATTAGTTTAGGAGGTCCACAGTTTCACTCTCAGGCTCACTGACATCAAGCATCTGGACACAGAAACGCTTCCACTTAAATGCAGATAGAAAACAAGATGCTTGATTCTCCGGTGCATTGACCACCAATGCCTCTGCTGATAGAGCAGGCAGTGAAGAGCCACAGTAGGCCGTGCTCCGATCTTGGCTGGAGAGAAGAAGGCCTCAGAGATCAGAACAGAGGCTCTGCAGCACAGCAGCATGTGAGAGGCCCTCGCTTCTGTTGGCTCCTGATGGGAATACATCACCCATGCAAAGGCTGCAGCTGCATCTCACCAGCTTCCACCAACGCTCATTACCATTCTGAGACAGCATAAAAATTAACTTTTATCATCATGAATTATTTAAGCTCATCAGAGACATCCAGATGAATCAAGCTGACAGACAGAGAAGCAGATCTCTTCGTCAGGAAATGGAGTTGTGAACCGGGAGTACCAAGAGTGTCACACTTCCGGGCAGGACAACAAATTATTACCCAGAGCTTCCTACTTCTGAGCATTTGATTTTTCAATGTGAACAGGCAAAAGCAATCCATCACTGCTGCTTTGGGCTGAATGGTCTATGGACATGGAGCTGAGTGACTCCGTTCAGAAGAACATCTACAGGCTTCCTCTGGGGAAGGTTTGGATGTTTGTCACTACCACATTTCAGCCATCTACTCACCTGCTTGGTCTAGACAGAGCAAACATAGTCATGATATGTTTGTCTAAAAAAAAAATCTAATAATGGAAATTCCACAATCTTTACAGTGGAAAGGTCACAATAAAGCCAAACTCAAATTTTTCTAGTTGCAAATTAGGTTGCTGCTTGCCATCTTTTGGATGACTTGTAGAGCAGCTCATCACCATTTTCTTTCTAGCAGTGTTTCTGTATACCAGAAGATTATTATCATGCCATCTTCCTTTTTTCCATTTCTCCATGAAGCAAACCTGCACCTTTCACTCCTTCCTGATCGCATTTTGTTAACCTGGTTTTGTCGATCTTCACTGAAGTCTCTCAGTAACCCCGCCCTGAAATAATGTTCTTACATATATCTCTGATGGCAGAGAGACTAGAACAAGAAGAAATGTTGATTTAGATGTAACTTTTCCTTCCCAAGCTATCCCAGCCCAAGGGAGGAGTTTGGTGGGGAAGACAAACACTCATACACATGTAGTTAAGCTTTTGGCTGACTACACAAAGGAAAACAAATATAGTGTGTTTCTGGAGCACTTCAGCTGCAGGTGAACCAAACCGGTCCTCCCAAATCTCAGAGTATCCCAAAGATGCTCTGAATTCCTTCTAGGTGCTGCTTTGGAAGCTGGGATTTATCACAATGCCAGGGACTCTCCACAGACCACTTGTCTCTCTCCGGAGAGGTCTGGAAGTCTGAAGGCTGAAAGTCCTTCCAAATAATCCAACAGGTATCTGAACCAGAGGTGAAGAATGTCTTCCCCCCAGGCATTCAGCAATGCAGGGACTTTAGCCCAGACTTTAGGCCCAAGCACACACTTAAGCTTACTCATTCCTGCTTTGCTGACCACAGCTCAAGGGTGAAACCCTTGTGGCCTTGTGAAAAAGCAGCATTATTAGAAAGTTACCCTGGAGTTAAAAGGAATTATTTGATGAAAGCCTATAAATAAAATGAGTGGACCTTCTACATCACAAGTAGGTTCCACAAAATGCTTTTAATAAAATGAGGTTTCTGATGTCCATTAGTTCTGCTAACAGAGCTGTTAGAAGACTGTATCCACAAATTTTCTTGCTGTATGCTAGACAGAGCACTAACTGTTTCCATCCCCTTAATTCACTCATGCATTTAACATGCATTAATCCACAACAGTTACAGAAGCAGCAGCAGAATCCAGGGCGTGTTTTAAACCAACCTGGCATTAGTGATTCCCAGCTTTCCAAGAAGGAATCCAGCACCTAAATCCTTACACCTTTAAACAAGCGACTTCCCTTTGATCAAATACCCTCTTGATTGTGGCAGCATGTGGAACTGTTCCCAAAATCTTTACACAGGTCTTCATGTAAGAGCCTCCTCCTAGGAAACATTTTGCTTCTCTTCAGGCCTATTTCCAAGTCTCATGGTCTTCGTAAGCTTGTGTCTTCAAGTAGCGGTGCATGTACATTTACATGCAAGTTGTTTTCCACTTGCTGCCTTCAACTACAGCAAATCTCGCGCCCAAGTAAGCTTCTTTCTAGCAGATAAGCACATTTTCCATCAGTAAAGCATCACAGAGGGCAAGGGATCCATGAGCGTTAGCACCGGAGCCTTCCAGGGCTGCACTCCAGGCCAGACCGAGAAAGTGAGTTTATCAGACCAAATCAGGTACCGGAGCGGAGCTCTGTGCGTGACAAGTGTCAAGGCTGGACAGATGAGAAAGGATCTGCTCTTTTGCATGACTGCTCTTCAGCTCTTTTAACACAACCTGATGGTTAATAAGGTTTGGCATAGACATTGCTATACATCACAACAAGAAGTTGCTCACAGTGTGATTTTAGGCACAGCTCCAGCAGAGCATACTGCCATCCTAATTCCTCATAAAGAGGCACATTTTATATGATTTGTCACTGTGTATCGTTTTCTTTGAGAAAACTCCTCTCACCCTGTAACAGAGGCTGGATTTTTTCATGTCCTTTTCTCTTACTGCTCCAGGGAAAGGAAGGCACAGTTACCAACAGTGCTTCAGGGAAAGGAGGGCACAGTTACCAACACTGACCTCAATTCATGGACATTTTAGTTCTTCTTTCCATCAAAAGCTGAAAATATAATAACAAAGTCTGAAAATGAAACAAAAGTTAAGCCTTTTCACCAGGTTAAGCACTTGCTGCATTCCTGGCAGATTTCTTCTCTTTTTTGTCATCATGATGTGGAATTTCTGCTGGATTCCCCATCACAGCCTGTGTAACACTCAGTTCCCTCATCCATTTCATCTCTGTAGACTAGAAACAGCAACCCAGAATAAAAATATAGCTGAGTTGGCAGTCAGAGAGCATCTCCTCCCTTGCAGCAATCCTGGCCAGATCCCTGAGATGGAGCTGGCGTGGCTGGGTTGCAGCAGCCCCGTATGAGTCTCCCATATCCCTATGATAGGGTGCTTGCAGGCACCCTACAGATTTAGGGTTATGGGATTGCTTTAACCAGCTCTTTTTCCTTGGCTCTCTTATAGGCCCAAACTTATTCACAGAGGCAGTGGCTTACATCCAGGCTCAGTACGAGAGCAAGAACAAATCCACCAACAAGGAGATCTACACGCACATCACCTGCGCCACTGACACCAACAACATCCAGTTCGTCTTCGACGCCGTCACGGATGTCATCATTGCCAACAACCTGCGGGGCTGCGGACTCTACTAAAGCACCCTCCTCCTTCCCTTCTCCCCTCGCACCCGCCAGGAGCATCCTCCGGTCCTGCGGACAGGTCCTCTCTCTTTCTTCTTTTTTCTCCTCAGAGGATGATGAGGAAGAAATCCATAAATCACTCCTTCTGTCCCAGAAAACTTTGCAGCAAGTTCTACTTTCCCCAGCCCCAATTTACTTTGGTTTGGTTTATTTTTGTTCACTCCCTTGCTGCCTCGCTCTACTCCTCCGTCTCAATTCACAGTGCTGTAGAGGGAGCTAACGCATTGCCCACAATGTGCATTTCAACTGCCAAATGCCAAAAATACTTCAGTTAAAAAAAAAAAAAATCAAAGCCTTAAAATACTGGTCAGCAACAGTCTAGTTTGGAACCGAAACTTTTTTCCTTGAAATTAGGGGATATTTTTGATTCTGATTATTTATATACTTTTTTTTTAACACTGTTTCTTTGGGAAGAGCTAGACACAATATGATCATTTTGAGGGTACCTTATGGCTCCAGTTCCTATCCAAAAGCCAGAGGGGTTGGTGTTGAATGCAGCCACCACAGCTTGGATTTGTATATTCTCCTTTTTTCCAGACAGCTATTTGAACAAGTGAAACAGCTATATCGAGTTCTGCTGGTGTCTGAGTAAGAAGGACACAGTAACAAAACCTACTAAGCTATGTCTAAAAGCATTCATTGCTGGTAACAGTTTTACCTCAAGTTTTTCTAAATTAATGTTAAAATACGTCTAGTGGTTTCAGTAACCCATTTCTGAGGAACTCTGGTGGATGCCACAGAGCTGCTGGGCGGTGGCAGCTGGTCTTGGACCCCTGGAGCATAGGTAGCAAGGATGCTCTATAGATGGCATCCTGATGGGGACCCCATGCACAGGGATGCCAGCTGGAGACCCGGGACCTTTTCCAAAGCACCTCCCAGCCTAAGTGATTCCAGCACAACCAGTGCTCTTGCAGACACGTAGCATCTCTTTCCAAACTTCAGCCCTGAAATGCTAGGGTTCACCAAAAATATTTACCCCTGGCTTTTTGTAGGCAGAGTTTGACCTTCAAGTAGCTGAAATGCAGAGGGGTGCTTTGGGAAACCTCACCATACTTGGGTGACAGCAAGGTGTGCAGGACCCTTACAGCTCTTTATCGCATCTAAATACCCTTGAGAAGCCTGACCTTGCACTCTGAGCCTCCCTGGCTGAACAGAAGCAGGTAGCTTGCCTGTGTCATCTCCTGCCTGGGCATCCAGGAGAGACAGCTCCAGATTCGGTGTCTCCAGTCAGGGCGTCCCTTCACCAGTATCTAAAGTGAGAGGGATGGTTTATACTGGCCATGTAGTGGCAAGGGAGGACTCAAGGAGCTGATTTGAGCCAAGTGATGGAATAGGAAGAAAAAGTGCAAGGAAGAGAGGGGAGAGAAGAAGAAAGGGCTGGGGTAGTGCCCAACACAGCCAAATGTGGGGATACAAGGAGGACAAACGTGTCTGGGCTAGGTTATGTGTGGCCATCTGCCTGCCATCACCAAGAGCTTTGGTACTGTTGGTGTGAAGGCAGAGGGGAGTGTGAGAGGTGGGGTTGTCACCTCCAGGAACATGGAGGGACCCTTAGATATCAACCATGAAAGCTTGTTTGGTGTCTGGGTGGGACAGCCACCTCCAAGGTCCTACTCAGGGCCTAACATGGGGACAGACAGACAGTGCTGATCCCTGCCTCTTTTCTGTGTCTCTTACCCTACATGATCCTGGAAAACGTGTGCCTTTCCAGGCCAGCCACAAGTTCATCTGTCCTCTCTTCAGAGCCCGAGCTAGAGGTATCCTTCAGGTCTCAGGAGGCCTGAGTTTTCTCCAGTGCCTGAGAGGGACAATATCTCTTTTCTTGCTGTGCCCATCTACGAGAGATGGTGTGAGAGCAGCCCAAAGCAGCACAGCCCAAAGGCAAGGGGCCAGGTGAGGGTCAGTGTGCAGGAGGCAGGGAAAGGAGCAGGTATGGTGGCACCAGATGGAGAGGACCAGCATGAGAAATTGGGGTGTGGGACAGTTTTGAAGAGAAGTTGCAGAAGGGAGATGGGGCAGGTTGCGTCAGCAGGAGAGCAGAAAGCGAAGGGAGCCAGAGTCCCTGTCAGACTGGACTCTGCCAGGACACTGCTTGTGGGATATCTTGACAAAACCCCAGTGAGGGAGGTGAGCAGGAACACACTGGGACTCAGGGGTGGCCTGCACAGGAAGACAAGGTGGCTTTCACCCTGTAACCAGCTCACAGCCAGTATGATTGGCAGCTGTGTCAGTAATCCCCTGAATGGCATTAAGTGATGAAACTGTCTTTAGTGTTATACAGTGAGGGCCTGCTGCTGCTCTGCTGGACACTAACGGCAATAACACCAGGTCTCTGTCTCCCTGCCCAGCACAGAGTACAGCCTTTCTCTTCACCATCTGAGCCTTAAAATACCTCCAGTGGCATTAGCCCCGCCACAGAACTGTTCAGCCAGCAAAGCCAGGAGTACCTCTGCTCCTCACGCCACATTCTACCTGCACGTCTTGTTTTCCCAGGTCCCATCCGCTCTCCCAGCTCCATTTAGTGCCAGTGCACTGCTGTACCACCATAAACTAAAGGAAGACTGATCACAAGGCCTGCGTGTGTCGTTGTATTTGGTTTAGCTCAGGATTTTCAGAGTCAGTGGGAAGGTTTTCCAAAGAAAGGATTCCCAGTGGGAACACCTGCCCAGTTGCCTGGTTCCTTGGAAGGGGCTAGCTAAAAGCACTAAGATGGTGCCTCTGCCACAGGAGAGGCAGGGAGCTAGCTGCAGAGGGGTGGGGATGCTCCTGAAGCTTGTCCCATGTGGGTGGCCGGGTCCCACCAGTCAAACCTAGCATCCCAATGTGCTCTGGGTGTCAAAATGAGGGCCGAAAAGCTGGGTGTTAGTTACATTTGGTACTGTCCTGGGTTTGGCTGTCCTTCCTAGTAGCTGGTGCAGTGCTGTGTTTTGGCTTTAGTCTGAGAGCAATGCTGATAACACACTGATGTTTTAGTTGTTGATCAAGGACTGTGATCAAGGACTTTTCAATCTCATGCTCTGCCAGTGAGGAGGGGCACAAGAAACCACGAGGAAGCAGAGACAGGACACCTGATCCAAACTAGCCAAAGGGCTATTCCATACCACAGCACATCATGCCCAGTATAGAAACTAGGCAGGAGTTACCTGGAAGGGACCAATCGCTGCTTGGGTCAGGCTGGGTATCGGTCACTGGATGGTGAGCAATTGCATTGTGCATCACTTGTGTTTATTGGTTTTTTCCCTTTCCCCTTTTAGCCTTATATTCTCTTCACCTGTTATTTCCCTAAGCATTATTATTTAGTGCTAGTGGTTTTGTATTATACTTTTGGTATTGGTCTGTTCTTAACTCAGCCCATGGGATTTACATTCTCTTGATTCCACAGCCCTCTGGGAGTGGGAGAAAACAGGGACTGAGTGAGCGGCTGCGTGGTGCTGAGTTACGTGCTGGGCTTAAACCACGACAGTCCTTTTTGGAAGTTCCCCCCCTGACTGGGGTGAGTCTCACATTGGGTGCCAAAAACACAAGTGATGCTCAATCAATAAGCACTACTTAACAACTAAACCATTGGTGTGTTACCAGCATTGTTTTCAGACTAAAGCCAAAACACAGCACTGAACCAGCCAGTAGGAGAGAGAAAAATAACTGTCACAGCTGAACCCAGAACAGGTACATAAAGTGTATGCAACTGCTAGGTCCAGAGTGCAGTGCTTGTGCTGGCGGTGAGGCAAGTCTTATGTTAAGCTCTGTCAGAAGAGTTTGATCATTAGCACTGGAATTCTGGAGATTTCCTGTTCCCATTCCTTACTGTGGGTGACATTTTATCCAAGTGAGTAAGTAACAGAAGCTGTTCCCAGTGCAGGCAGCACCAAGCCAAGGCTTCAGGACTTCCCAGCACAGAGTACACAGGAATATTTTGGTAAAGAAAATTGAAATTAACTCAACCCCAAACTCTGCCAGATCCTACCAAGTCACCAGTGATGGCTCAGAGTGCCTGTGCCGTGCTCCACGCCGGATTCAGGTAATCCATGCTTGGCCGTGCTGACTGAGAGGTCCAACCGCCTCCTGAGAAAAGGGAGGAAAAGAGGAGAACATGTTGTCACACAAAGTCTTTTCTGTCATTTTCTTTGGCATATTGTATGCCTAAAGCTTCATTTCAGCAGCTGCTGCTGATGACATTCCCTCCCTCACACAAGTGTCATGAGGATTCACTGACAAAGGCTGGAAGCAACATTTGGAAGATGAAATGCTTCCAGTGTTAAACACTACTATTTCTCCCACTTGATGGCCGTGTATAGATTTTTGTCTTCAGAACGCCTGCCAAAGCATTACTCACTGCTGGCTTTCTGCATGCACCTAAGCCTTCTCTGACAGATGTGCCTTCTGCAGGCAATCTTTTGCCCTGTGCTTTTCCTAAGTACCAGCAATCCTTGCAGCAGTTGCCTAGAGAGAAGACCTTGAAATACATTGCCTGCTTTCAAAAACCCTTTTCTTAATGGCCCTTTATGTTTTGCAGTCAGGATTCTCTGAATTCAGACCCTCAGAGGCCCTGAGTTGTATTTCATTTGCAGTCCCCGCATAGCAGGGATGTTGCAACTGGCACAACTGCATCAGAAATCATACGAGGGCATGGAGGATGTATTTTAAAAGCACAGAGTTGAAACAGCTGTATATACACCCTGCTGCCCTTCAAAGCTAATGTAGGAAATTGCAAAAGATGCCCTTTTTGGAATGCAGAAGGTTTTTAATGACTCATTTTTTAATGACTTTTTAATGCATAAAAAAGATATGCACAACTATTTGTTTATTTGAACAACTGTTCAGTTCAAATAATAGAGAAACCTGTAGAAGGAAAGCCTGGAAACAAGCCCATAGGTGAGGCTGCAAGGTTGAGCTATAGAGCACTGCTCCTTGGGAGGATGCAGAAGCTGGGCTTGTCTGGAGAGCTAGCAATAAAATACACATGTTAAAATAAAGCCGCACACTTCAAAGAGCAGGTGTTGCTCAGCAAACAGAGCTCACAGCCTGGTTCTCAACCAGGGCCAAGGAGCCCGACGGAGCGGCAGGGCAGCAGGAACACTCGGCCAGGCCATCTGCCTCTTCGTCTGCTCACACCGTGCTGTCCCTGCTGCCCCTGCCCTCCCATGGGCCCATTGGCTTCCCACCGCCGCCTCCCTGGAAACACTGTCAGTTAAATCTCCCTCAGGAGTTTTGTATCAAAATAGCTCCCTGCCTTCAGCTTTCCTGGTTGGCCATTGCCTCCATGGAGGGGAGAGCAGCCTCGGGAGGAGGCTGGTGTGCCTCCTCAGTAGGTGTGATTTTGTTTTACAGGGCACTAAAAGTATTAATGACAGCAGTCTATATGTAATGTACATTGAAATGTATCTGGTGATTTTAATCTACTGTGGCATGGGCCCAGTGCTCGCCTGCAAGGGAACAGGCTTTGTTCTTGGGCCAGGAATGCAATCCCAGGAGG